AGGGGTGCAGTGGCGCACCCCTAAAGAAGGGATGGAAGAAGACACACACAGCATGTGGACCAGGTGGAATCTGAGAGAGGCTGCTTGATAGTGTATGCAGAGCCTGACTCTTGTTCCCAGGTATGTCTGGAGATGTGAAGGTATCTTCTCTCTCGCCGAGGTGAGGGGAGGGAGGCTGCCAGTGTATGGGTGGCGGTGGTAGTGGAAGGCTCTCTCGGGTGGGGGCTGGGGTGCTATTAGTCAATGGCAGGCACTCTTCGTGGGGGAGGGGGTGTTGGTTGGTGTCAGGGTCTCCATGGGGGGGGGCATTTTTTGTGTTACCTAGGGCAGCACAAAACCTAAATACACCACTGCTGTTACCAGTTTTTAAGACCTAACTCCAGTCACAGAGGTAAATTTACTAGGATTGGAGCAAACAGAATCTGGAGCAGCAGTGCACGGCAACCAATCAGCTTCTAAGCTTTCATTTCCAAAGCTTAACTGAACAAGTTAGAAGCTGATTGGTTGTCATGCACAATTTGCTCTAGTTTGTTTAAATTCCCCTCACTATTTTCCTTTAGTTTTTGATATACAGTAGGAAATAATTACAGTCAATTAATGTAGTTTGGGGGGGGGGGGGGGGGGGGATCTCCTGTCACTGCAGGTCTATTTGATGGCTGTACGAGAACACAAGAAATGCAGGACAATCTCCCCATGGGGATACAGGAATAAAACACAATAGGGTTGATTTTTATTTTTTTTCTAAAGAAGAAATGTTCACTTTGCAACATTCTGATCTTTCACTTACCTTCACCTCATTCACTAAGCTATGTTCACTTTATTTTGTTACAGGTATTCCTATAGCACCATCAATTTACCAGCACTTTACATATTGTATATTCACATCAGTCACTGCTCCTAAGGAGCTTACAATCTAAGGTCCCTGTTTAACATGTATACATATACACATGCACACATAATAGAGCCAATTTACACAGGAGTCAATAACCCACCAGCATGTCATAGGAATGTGGTGGAAACCAGAATAGCCGGAGGAAACTCATGCAAGCACTGAAAAACTTACAAACTTCCTGAAGTTAGTGTCTTGGCCAGAATTTGAACCAAGCTACTCTGAATACCCAGTCACGTGAATCACAGAAAAGACAGGATTTTTGCTTGTTGTAGCCAGCAGCCCCATATTTTTATTATTCTTAGGTGGATACCCTCTGTGTACCAGTGTTCAATCCTCTTGTAGGTGGCAGGATAACCCAACAGTCATTAATTCCTGCATCTTCCAATAGACTTCCAGAATAGGATTTTAAAGATACCATTTTCTTTCTTGTCCACTGAGGGGTGCAGGAAGTCCTTAACTTTTGGGACATTCAAAAGCAGCCCGTCTAAAGGGTAGGAAACACAGAAAACAAATGCTAATAGGTCCAAAAAAGCTTGGAACTGACTTCAGCTAAAAAGAGCTGCCTGAAGGACCATACGCCCAAATCGGTCATCAGATGAATCAGAGATATCCACCTAGTAGCAATTAGAGAACGTGTGAACAGAAGACCAGGGGCAGACTTGCAAATCTGAGAAACATTTGTTTTTACAGATGTGTTAAGAGTGTGCCTCGACAGTAAAAGGATGGAACCCGATCCTTGAGACCATAAGCTTGAATGATGGTCTGCCTGAGCAACCTAGAGATGGTGGAGCACGTCGAAGCACCATAAAAGGGTCCATCCAGGTTTACAAACAGGGAATCAGTCTTCATAAAAGCAGTGGCTGATAGATAGCCACTCACAGCTCCAGCCACATCAAGACAATGGAGGGAGATTTCCTGTTGGTGAACTGGAGCCAGTCAGAACAACATACTGGTTGAGGTGAAAGGCAGAACCCTACAGGGGTTAGACAAAAAAATGGAAACACTACTTGATTTTCAGGTGTGAAAGTGACATGTTTTGCATTTAAAGTGACGCAACATTCTTTTGCTTCCGCTGTGTAGTGAGATATAGGTCACAGGTGGGAAGCCTCACTTTTGTCATTCACTGTGTGTGATGCTAGTAGTAATACGGAGTCATGTCACAACTTACTGCGCTTTAAAGAGGGCAAATTGTTGGTGCCCGCTTAGCTGGTGCCTCTGTGACTGAAGCTGCCAATGTATTTGCAGTGCCGTGAGGTACAGTATCAAAGGTTATGACGGCATATACAGTTTCCGGGAAAACGTCGTCTGATAAGCATGGTCAACATGGTCAAACTGACCGAAAGAGACAAAAAAGGACAATGCACAGGATAGTGACCCGGAAGAAAGTAACTGCTACAAAAGTGACTGCATAGCTCAATCTAAGTCCTGTGAAGACTGAGATTGAGCTCTGCAGTCACTTTCGCAACAGTTGTTAGCAACTTCAGTCACAGAGGCACAAGCTAAGCGGGCACTAGTAAAAGCAATAGGTTGATCCCCCTAGTTTCAGAATGGCGCCTCAATCAATCAATAGGCTCATCAATAGGAGCCAAAAGGGCCACAGGTGCACTCCTTCACCCTCTCCAGCCGATTCTGTATCTGATTTGCCTGCAGCCGTGTTGACTTACAAACCATCGAACACACAGACTCTGTCTGATTCTGAGTTACTCAAGACCTGGACTGATGAACTTGCCTCTGATGAGTAGCAGTCTACTGTAGAACTTGCCTCTGAAAAGTAGTAGTCTACTGTAGACTGCTACTCTTTAGAGGCAAGTTCATCAGTCAAGGACTTTAGTAGCTCAGAATCAGAGTCCATGCAGTCAATGGCTTGGAAGCCAATAGGGCTGCAGGCAAATCAGATACAGAATCGGATGTAGAGGGTGAAAAAGTGTTGACTCTGATCTCAGAGGTCACAAAGGCAAACAACTGGATCATTTGGATTCAATTTTGCATCATCAAAGTAAAAACCCTAGTCGAAAGGGCAGAAGATCCAGCTACGCATAAGAGCTAAGGAGGATATGAAGAATGGTATAGACTCAAAGAGCAAAATGACTTCAGTTTGCAGACATTGGCACCAACAGTAGGCACACTGAAAGTAGCACTGGAGCCATTAGTATAAAGTGAGCTGGAGGTACCCAGTATGGTGAGACTGGTCTATCCATGTCTAGAATTAGCCATATTATGACCACATTGCATTAGGGCAATGGATAGGCTCAAGGTAAGATGCAAGGCCTCAAGTACAAACCCAGATAGCTGGTAGAAGGCTAGGGTTAGATGGTCGGACGTGACCAAAATCACTGTAACATCAGGAATAGGTCACAGATTGAAATTCTACTTCAAATGCTGAAGAAATGCCAGATCACTTACCAGAACTCTGGTAGAAGTCTAGAGAGCACCCCATGCAGAAATCAGTGCCCGAAGGTCACTTCTTAGCTATCCCCACTATGTCAAGTCCAGCGAGGTTTTGGTGTGGTACTCCTAAAGCAAGGCAATCAGGAGAGAGAAAACTAGAGGCAAGGAAGAAGAGTTTCAACTAGTTTTGAAAAATAAAAAAGTGCAATCAAAAAGGCTGGTCTTTAAACACAGCAGTGCTGAAGAAAAGCCATCCATCCTCCAAGGACATTATGGAAGCTGGAGGCATGCTGTTAGCAAGCTTTCCTAGGATGGTCTATTTCTTTCTGTCTTTGCTAGTGTCCATTTCTCCTGTGGGTGGTAGTATAATCTGAATCTTAATCCCTTGTCTACCAGCGCTATTTGCTGATCTCCCCTCCGGCGAAAAAACTGGAAAGAACGTTCCAAAAAATGTAAAAAAAAAAATAAATAAACTATTAAAAAACAAAAACACACACAAAAAAAAATGTGAAAGTCCCCCACCTCAATTCACATACATAACACAACATACACACGTGGCAAAAATGTGTCAGACACGTGAGGTATTGGCATAAACATAAGACGAAGAGCAATCATTTTTAGAGCCGTCGTTCACAGTTGACTCTAAATAGATAACCTGTAAAAGTTTTTTTTTTCACCTACGGAACATTGTGTACTTAACTCTGTTGTCATTTCATGGACATGTGCAATTAAAGGCTTGACATGTTTGGTATTTACGTGTTGCAACATCATCTTTTATATTTTAGTGGAAAAAAAAAAGGTAATATATTAGGTTCATGTGAACTAACATTTTAGTGTATTTTTGACTGTAAAAATTTGCAATTGATAAGCTAATATCATGTGGCATGAAAAATTGCAGCTACCACCATTTTATTCTTCAGGGTCTTTTCTTACAGAAAAATACGATGTTTGGGCTGTTAGCTAATTTTGAAGTGGCACCAAAGTCTTGGTATTTTTTTTTACAGTAAATAACAAACATGTTATACTTACCTGCTGTGTGCAGTGCTTTTGCATAGAGCAGCCTGGATCCTCCTCTTCTCAGGTACCCCGCTGGCACTCCTGGTCCCTCCCTCCTGTCGGCTGCCCTCACAGCTTGCTATGGGAGAACCCGAGTAGGCGCGCTCCCTAGCCGTGGTTCTGTGTGTCCAATCACACACAAAGCCGTGGCTCGGCCCTGCCCCCTTGCTCTCCTGATTGGCTCACTGGCTATGACTGACAGCAGCACTGATTTCAGACACGGATTTCTGCATGAGGTGAGCTCTAGACTTCTAGCATTCTGGTAAGTTACCTGGTATTTGCCTCAGCCAATCAGGAGTGAGAGCCCGGAGAACCGAGGCTCTTATAGACATCACTGGATCGAAAAGGGGCTCAGATAAGTGTTAAGGGGGCTGCTAAACACAGAAGGTTTTTTACCCTCATGCAAAGAATGCATGATGGTAAAAAACCCTGTGCCTTTAGACCCACTTTAAGTTCTAAAATATGAGTGATTAAAGACTTCCTGTGTCCCTCAATGGATTAAAAATAAAAGTTTTATTGGATGGTTAAAATGTTACACAGAATATTACAGCTCATAAATGTGTCATGACACACTAAGAAAAGTGCAACAAATCAGAATGCATTCATCCATATTATTATGCATTTCTGTGGGCTCTTTACGCATTGCTGCTACATAATACTATACCTGAGTTGGGTTTTTCTCATACAGGAAAGCAATGCATTTAAACACAGTACTGTTCTCCTCAAAATCTTCTTTAAGAGGTAGAGAACGGAGTAACACAGGAAATACCTAAATGGGCAGAATAGGAGGGTCACTTGGGATTGAAACAGAAGTACAAAACAAACAAGCAATGTAAAACGTTTGTCAGTTTAAAGAGTTATTTCAGGCAACCTGAATAGCTCAGAGTGCTGCCCTCCTCCTAATCTGAGGGCTCCTATACAGGGAATTACAGAAGCTTGAAATTAAAATAAACTCAGGTGTTTATTTTAGGTACATAGAGTCCATCACTAAAATGAAATCCCCCCCCCCCCACAAAAAAAAAAAAAAAAAAAAAAAAAAAAAAGGTTTTGGACTTACCTGTAAATTTTAATTTTGGAGTATAGTACAGGTTAAAGGCAACTTATTCATACACCATGGGTTATAGCAGGGGAAGGCAACCTTAAAGAGGTGGAGATCTACCTGAACATGGGAGAAGTCAAAGATCACTAGGCACAGTGTCGCCTCCTCACATTGGATTTAAACCTCCGATTGCTGTACTACCGTGCCGCCATGGAATGCATTGCACAGCAATCATGGGTTTAAATCAGATGGTGAGGAGGCAAAATATCGGCTCTCCCTCACCACCTGTCAAACACACTCGGATTGCTTTTTAGATGAGTAGCAGTGCCTGCTGAACTTGTGAATTAGTCCATGGTCTGCATTCGGCAGCGGCACCCTTAGGGCTCGTTCACACATACAGTTGGTGGGTGTAAAACTCTGTGGTTGAGTTGTGGTTGTAATGCCTCCAATCCATATCCCCTTCATCCAAAAGGTATATACATTCTGCAGCAGGAATTAAACCCCCTGTTGCTTTTGGTGGGGGCTACCGCCTGCCAATCGTGACCCATTCAAGTAAATCGGGCTGTTCTGCAAGTGCCCCGCAACTGCATGCTTCTGCAGGGTCCGAGGGGTTAAAGCAGGTGGTGGAAAAGCTGCTTTGTTGTACTACACAAGGTTGCAGGACACTTGCAGAGCAGTCACATTCAGCTGAATGGTTCATGCTTGGCAGGTGCTACACCCACCAATCATAAAGGGGCATATAACCAGTAATGTTGCTGTGCAACATGTGTACACCCCCGGCCACTGCAGCTAAAGGGAGGGTGGTTGGGGGGAGGTCTTAACTATGGGGTTTTACCACCCCCCAAACTGCAAATGTAAATTAACCCCATAATGATCTGAGCCCCCCCATAAGGCTGTTTCACACTGATGTGCTGCAGTTTACCTGCACTGTGGGTGCAGCGCAGAGCATCTGCAACTTTCCTGGGTTAGCTGCACTTTGCCATAGACATCTATTATATCCTGCAGGTGTGGTGCACTTTCTGAAAGTGCATCAAAATTCCTTCATTTAGAATTTTTTGTGCATTTTCAGAAAGTGCACCAAATCCACAGGGTATAATAGAAGTCTATGACTAAGTGCAGCAAACACACAGGAAAGCTGCAGTTACGCTGCACTGCACCCGCGGTGTGGGTAAACCGCAGCAAATCAGTGTGAAAGCAGCCCTATACTATTATACCCAGTGTAATGCTTCACACTGACCTGAAGATCTCTTCTTTCCTGCTGCTGGTACCACTCTGGAGACCGCTAGCAGGGATAGGAGGTGGAGTGCAGTTGGTATCACTCCGTCTGGGACAGAACGCAGCACTACAGAGAAGGCATCGGCTTAAGTGGCTCATGCTCCCTACTACAGCTTTATGAGTAGTCTCTCTGCACTGCACTCTGTTTGATGCTCTGGGATGGGGGGGTCAGCAAACCGATACCATGACCTAATTGTATATCGATATCTAGGAGCTGCTAACAACCAGGTTATAGGCTCATACATTCAGGTGAATGGACACTGGCACGATTTTTAGGACACACCACCCTGGGGAGTCTCCCCTATAACCCTACCCTACACCATGAGTCTTTCATTTTGTAGTAAGCAATGCAGAGTAACAAGGGGAGCTAGGGAGGGTGGCTTGTGTCCTGTACTATACTCCAAGATGTAAAATTTACAGGTAAATTAAAATTCCTTGTAACTTAATCGTACAGTATAGGGCACAAGCAACTTATGTGAACATCACTGGAAATCCTAAAGCAAAATATATGAAGAGTGGGCAACAACTAGGCACTCCAAATACAAGTAGCATTCACTTGCTTGTCATACAAAACAAATGCACAAAAACGTGCTCAGCTTCCCTGTATTGTCGTGTGCCAAAATACACAGCAAAAGAATGCAACACATCAGCTTGCACAGGTGTGGATAACAGCCTAAGGGAATATCCCTGATGGGTTCAAAGGGTGGTATCTGCAAGGCTGAGAGAACCAAATTAAGGTCTCAAAAAAGAACATGGTGCTGCAAAGGGGGAATGCGAAAAACCCCTTGAATACAGGTTTTCACAAGGGAGTGTGAAGCCAAATACCTATAAAAAAGGATGTATAGGACCGATATCTGCTCTTTTAGGGTGCTAAGAACTAGATTCTGGTCAAGACCTGTTTGTAGGAAGGCGAGAATGTGAGGCAAAGAGTAAACACTGGGACTGAAATGATTGTGCTCACACCAGGCAAAGTAAAATTTCCAGGTACAATAATAGATCTTCCAGGAAGTGGCCTTCTTGCTTTCAACAAAGTAGGAATCAAAGACTCCAAAATCCAGGCCGTTGAAACCAAGTATTGTGAAGTAGGGTCGAATAGAGGTCTTTGAAATACCAAATCTGGCTTAACGTGAAAGGCCAGATCTGGTACCTGAGTAGGTAATAACCCAGGTGTAGACCATCCTGCAACAAATACTCATGGGGAAAGAGTGGGAGGAAGCACCTAAGTACCTTAAAAAAGATCTAGGCAGAAGTGGTGTTAACGTGTGCAACCAGTGGAGTGATGGAACACCTGGTCATCCACCTGAGACTTCTGAGTGGATGAGATTTAGCAGCAAGTTTAAAAACTGTTTGCACTGTGAAGTGAATACATTTCAACATAGCTCCGTTTACAACATTAGTGGTCCACGATGCTGATCTGCATATAAAGTCCAGGCTTTGCCCGTCACAGAGGGCATACCTCCGAAAGGGTCTTCAGGGACTGGGTTTCATGGTGATGGACTATGGCCCTGGATCTGTAGAGCATCTGGTGGCTAACTCAATGCGTTGCACCAAATATCAAGGTGAATGTCCCACACAGGATCCAGTACCAGAAGCAACATTACAAGTGGTCCCCACAGTGTGGGGACCAGGTAGGGTTCCCAAGGGTTTTACCGAGGTTGCACCAACAAGGATACACAGATTCTGTGTAGGCATCAGAATTGAAATGTTGGTTGAAGAATTTAAAGAAAAAAAAATAAAGAAAAATATTAAACTAGTGAAGCGGATTTCTCTGCAAGGAGAAGAGGTCAATCACCTTCACACAGTACCAAGAAATTGAGGAACCACCAAGTGGTGAAGGGCTATAGGGAAGGTATTCCAGGGGGGCATAGCCTCAAAAGCTTGCCAGTGTCCAATCAGTGTACAAGCCTATGACCCAAGTTAAATGAATAAGTTGCCTGTGTCTTATATTGTACAATTAAGAGAAAGAGTTTCCTGAAAATAAATGCTTTCTTTACCTGCTGCCTGACCTGCAAAACACCATTCTAAACGCAGAGGAATAGTCCTCAATGTCTCTTCCGAAACCTACAATTCTGGGAGGATATTATGGTCACCTACTTTGCTGCAATTACTGGCTACTCCCAATGACCCCTATCTCTCCAATGTACCCTGTAGCTACGTAGGATCAACTGGAGGAACCAGTGAGCACAGAGAGGGACCAAGAAATCAACCCTCCTGGAAGTAACAACAGCTGAAGATACCTCAATGGATGATTTCTCTGCACTAGAGTAGTGTTCGGAGAAGCAGGCAACAGAAAGAGGTATTTACTTCTTTGCCAAGATCTTATTGTGGATTTTATTTTTAGCAATATAATTGATTTAAATATACATTTAGTTAATACATAAAGAACATATAACTGCACTAATTGTTGCTGTAGGAGTTTAGTTCTTCTGTAAACTCCTATAGCAGGATCCAGGGAAAAACATTTATGAAGTCTATGCTCTATTGCTTATTTTTTTCTTGCTGCTTCTTGTATCACTTGTTAGGGTTCCCAGATCACTATATTTTTGTCAAAAGAATGTGAAGTGGAGCAGAATGGTTATGTCCATTATAACAATGCCTGGCTGAACAACATATGTATTAAGCAGTTGGGATTTATATTAAGGTTTAGTATTGTAATTATGACTTGAGTGTGTGCCTAGAAAAGCCAGTCCTTCCAAAACGGATATTACAGTTATGGGCTAATGGGCTAAATAACCTACTTGCTTTTCACATCTCCTAGGGTGGGAGACAGCAACCCGTTGATCATGATCAATCGGTCATGCAATTGGTAGATTGCATCCCTGCAATACTGACCTTCCTCAAAAGTTCTTCCCCTTCTTGTAGGGCGGCGATCCTCATCACCTCTCTATCACTGACAAATGCCTGGGACTGACACGAGGGGACAATAGTGGGGAGCAGAACAAGTAGAAGCAGTATCTAGAAAATGCTTCTCTTCGCCACTCTGCATATAAGGAGAGAAAGAACTTCTGAGGAGGGTCGGCAGTGCAGGAGTTCCAAAGATGAACAGGTGTGTGTTTTTTATGTCCATTGCATTACTACCAACTGACCTTTGAACTCTACATTGCTACCTACTGACCTCTGCACTCTGAATTACTTCCTACTGACCTATGCAATTTTTATTACTTCTGACTGAGTTCTGCAATCTGCATTACCTATTACTGAGCTCTGCACTGTCTTCTTACTGAACTCTGCATTGCTTTTTACTGACCCACTGATCTCTGCATTACTTCTTACTGACCTCTGAACCTAGCATTACTTCCCACTTCTCTGAGCCCCTGGAAGATGCCTTTGTGGATGAAATGCGAAGGGCGGAGTAATAGCTGTGACGCTGGCCAGGAGCCGAGCGGTGTTTCAATGCTTGTTTTTAAACATATTTGTGAGTATTTGACTTTTATTAGTAAACCCAAAATTTTAAACTACTACTATTGGCTTTTCCTCTTCTATTTGCAGTGTGAGTTGACCTCCATTACACTGAGGTCTGTTTCAGGTAAGAGGCTTTTTTTTAATGGTAGTGGAGACACATCACATTGCACAAGGATTGATTGAAGTCACTTTAGGAGATCTATTTGCACTACTATAGTTTACTTATCATTGGATGGACACGGTTATTATAAATTGTAATATTTTTGCACTGGATTTCTATTTCTGATACTGATATGATGATTATTAAATAACAACACACTGTTTCTGTTACACAATTTTATTTACAGCTGTAGAGCAACACCATTTATTTTATTATGTTTATGGTGTTGTATTTAGTTACTAATAAGTGCTGCCAACACTGTGGTGCTTTAATTATTACTTATTCACTTTAATTGGTTGAAGATTTTTGATACTGAGCGCAGGACATTTTGGATACATTACTTCCCACTGATCTATGCATTACTTATTACTGACATCTGCAGACTGCATTACATCCTGCTGACCCTTGCACTGTCCTAATCAAATTATATACTGCTCTTACAGGCTGAACCTAGCCAGCCAGACCACAACTCAACCCAGCTAGGCCAGAACCAGGCTAAAAAGTAAGAACTAGTTAATTTTTTTTTTTATAGTGACATTTATATTATTATATGTTCTGCAAGTTATATCCTTAAAAAAAAAAAAAAAAGGCGCTGCACCCTGGCAATCTTTGATCACTTCCATGTTGTTAAGGTAGATCCCATCCTCTCCAAGGTTGTCTATCCCTGTCCTATGGCCTCAAGTAGTCCTTGTTGGGTTCCCTGTTGTAACCCATATAGTCTCACTACTCTTGCTGAATCCTGGGGTCAATGCTGCATTTTCTGCAGCGTGAAATCAATTACAAAATCCAGCCAGAATCACCTTCAAAAGACACTGTCATAATGATCCCAGCAGGTGAACAGACAAAGTCAGGTGCAGATATCTTTCCACTGGAGGCTTGACAGGTGATAACTAAGTGGTGTAACAAAGGCGAATCTTTGTAAGTAAACAGAAGTGACAGGCTACCTGGGCAAGTAGCTATATTGTAGAGATTCCTGCCAAATCGATAACCAGCACTGACAAATGCAATCCAATGAGAATTGTGCATAGACTGTTACCTGCTCCAGTGGCACTCCTCCAGGATGACTCAACACCATCCGACTCACTGCCCCACACACATTGTCCAGAGCTCGACCATTCTCCTCGCAGCCGATTATAGATGATAATACTGAAAGCAACTTAGGGTAATGTCTGTTTACATGTCAAGGACAAGAGTGGTACTTTCTATGGATATGCATAACTAATTTGCACATCAAAGTGTGATAGCCAGAAAACAAGAAATATACAACATTCTTTAGTCATCTAAGTGGGGTAAAGGTCATATGGGCAAGTGTTGTACTCATCTCCATGAAACAGAATTATAATAATTAATGCCTTGACTACAATAGGTCTGGTCTCTTTCAACAATCTGGTCTCAACAAAGAAACAAAGTATAAAATCTGTGTATAAGGAGTGAGCAAGAAATGCATACTAATTTTTGTAGGATACTTGTGCATTGAGGCACCTCCATGCTCTGCCAGAACCCCGAGTCCAAACACAGAATTACTGCGAACTTCATCATCTTTGTCCTGCGCTCCAGAAACAAGTGCAGGAAGTAACTGGGGCACAAACTGTACAACTGCCTCACTCAAACTTACTACCGATTCCGCCAGAATACCTCCTCCAAATGACTTCTCTGCAGGTGAACAGCTTGGCTTCTATGTAGAGAAAAATGGATGGAAACATTTTCATACAAAACACAGGAAACAGTTGAACCAAAATATCAAAAAATCTAGAATCTATTAATCCTTCGGCTCATAGTATAGTAGTATTGCCTCTCACTGATAATTAATGTTTACAACATTTGTATTCCATCTAATACAGTATATAGTTGCCAGACTATACTAAGCTAAGTTAGGGTCAGGAAAATAAGTTTTGTGTGAAAGAATTGATCCTAGTAGGGGGTAGTGTTAGAGCTTGTTGGTAGTGTTGGGGGGGGGGGTGGTAAAATTATCACTTCCTCACTGCCTGTCAAACGCCTGAAAAGAGATCCACCATGAACTGTTTTTCAGAGGTGCTTCACTGATAGATCCACAACTATACCTAGTCTTACTTAGGTTGCGGGCAAGTTCCAGTGATGGAAATCCATCCCATGATAGCTATGTATGCTATTGAGCAACTCTTTCAGACCAGAAAGGTTAGGCTGGAGTCAGCCCATAAAGCCCCGCATGTAGATCTCCCGTCTGAGCTATAGGCTGAAAACAAACTCTCTCCCTGGGCTGCTGAAAGACACAACTGTTAACCTATTAAAGATTTTAAAGTGTAACTGCAACTGTACCTATCCCCTGTACATATGCTTTGCACAGTCCCCTGCTGGCATTTGTGCTCTTAGGGCCGGTTCACACCTACAGGCTGTTCAGTGTTTTTTTTTCAGCATCAAAAACGCATGCATAGTAGGTTATATTGTTTCCAAAGGCATAGTTCACACCAGTGTCGTCAGTTCCGGAAAAAAAAAAAAAAGTAGAACTGCATTTTGTCTGCACTGAACTGTTAAAGTAAACTGCATCAAAAATGTACTGGAATGCACATGTTCTTATTTAAGCTGAAGGAAAAAAAAGAGGAGAAACAAATGCACTGGAACGCATCAAAAACATGTAAAAAATGTGCATGCAAAAACGCATTCAGACTGTTTCTATGGTGTGAATTGCCCCTTACAGAGAATACAAGTGAATAAACAGCACACACAACTATCTCTAAACAGTTGCACTATTAGTCAAAGGTATTTATGGTTTTCTGACAACACCTTATTTATGTATCAGTCTTAGCACTGCCACAGGGGATGGGAACTTACATATATACAAACATACAGAAACTCAAATCTGTGCACAAGTTCCCAAGAACATAAAAATATAGTTTTTTTCTTTCAGAGTAAAATGGTATTTTTCCAAAGGCTGAATTACATTGTGCACCGTTTCATAAGCAAACTGTGTTGGGAAGACAAAGCATATGTGTTCTGTTTTTTGGTTGAATAAGCATCAATACCTCTAAGTCTCCTGCCTGGTATGCCTTGAGGTCCATTTAAATGAAAAATTTTTCCTTTCCACATTCTACACCTACAACAAGAAATACTGTTTGGAGGGTCACTTTAACTGTGGTCTGCCTGGATAGGAAGGGATGCACTTTCATACGGCAAGTCAACTGATGTGAATTAGCAATCAAGGTTACCCTAATATACGCAATGTTTTCTAGATCTCTTAGAAAGAATATATACTGCGACATGAAATCACATCTCTCACCATTTTACTAAGCAGTAATGGAAGAAAACCAGCAAAATATGGAGCAAATGTGGCACCTCCAACTGCAGCAGCAATCAATGGAATCCCATCTCCTGCACATTCCACCAGCATGGCATCCAGTTCTGCCTGTTAAAAAAAAAAATATATATATACATATATATTTTAATGCTTGATATATATTGTCTATGGCAGTGTGCCTCTGACTGCCAGTCTCACAAGATTTTGAGTTGTTTGCAAGTTGGTAGTACTGGGCCTAGAAATAATGGTTTTTAACTGTACTATACCCCCAGCAATTCTGGTTGTGCTGATGACTAATAGGGGCAAAAAGGATTGGTTTGATTTGCAGGACTCTGCTCACTTACCCATAAACAGTGATGAAGCTTCTTGTTTTAAGAAATAAGGATGTGTACATACCTTCTGTTATAGGACAATGCTGAATCTCAAAAGTACTTTAGAGCAGGGCTTTTTAGCTCCTTTTGTACTGCCTCAATGCGACCTTAAAGTGATTTTTATTGATAAAAAAACGTAAGCATTTACAAACATGTTATACTCACCTGCTCTGTGCAAAGGCTTCGCACAGAGCAGCCCTGATCCTCCTCTTCTTGAGACCCTCGCTGGCGCTCCTGGTTCCACCTCCCTGCCAAATGCACCAAAGCAAGCCCCTTGCTATGGGGACACTTATGTGTGCCCGGCACTAAGCCCCGCTTTGTGTGTCCATTGACACACAAAGCAGGGCTGGGCCCCACCCCTTGCTCCCTCCTCACTAGCTGTGATTGACAGCAGCAGGAGCCAATGGAATGCATTAATGTATAAAAACATTCTGTTTTTAGAGCCACTTTAATGCTTGTACTATTTCTCAAACATGTAAATACAATGGTACTCCAACAGTTTCAAACACAATCCTTCTTTCCCTAAACATACAATCTTGGACAGGATATGAAAACACTGACTTTTTGTCATAAGTTAAGATTGCATTTCTATCAATTACCTGGCTGCCTACATACGCAGAGTTTTCTGGCATGCAGCTTGTAGGAATAGGCTACAGGTAACACGGTGGCACCCAACATAGTAATAGTTCCAAGAGGCAGTCCGGATTAATTATTTGTAAGCTACAGCGCTCATATTTGGTAGTAATTTATCTAAATATTGACTGTGAAAGGATTATGCAAGAAAGAAGGAAGCTGTCAATCAAGATGCCTTCAGAGTAAATGTAAAAATTTGACTTGCAAGGGAAAAAGAAAAGTGCAAATGAAGGAGGCATAATATTAGAACCATTCAGCAATAAAACTTTCAGACATTGCGAGAATTTATGGCATCACTAAAACAAAGGGGCAAATCATGAGAGATAGTTCTGTGGGTGTGTTACCAACAGACAATCTCTGATCTGTAGGCGTTTCTCTGGGAAGCCCTGGGGTGTGAGACAACCCTTACCTGGTTTAGCTGATCTACCTGCTCTACAGGTTAATTACCTCAAAAGCAAATATACAGACAGAAAAGAACAGAAAGCTTGCAGTGAAGGCACAGTTTAAAGAGCTCCTTCAAACAAACGGGCTGTATGACTGATCGAAAGAGTTCATTAATCTTCCAGAGGCTTTTAAACCATAGATCAGATTTGTAAACTTCTAAAAAGTGAACGGAAGCAGACTAGTGAGAAAGAACAAGACAAGCAAGCTTATAGAAGAAAAAAAAAAAACAGAAATCTGAAGTGACTATCTGATGACAGCACCTGTTGCCGTTAAGGATGACCATGAAGTAATGACAGATTGCCAAATGCTCTGCAATAATATATCAGACAGTGCACATGAGAGATGAATGCACACTTCACAAATATGGGTATTGTAGAGACTATCCTGTGTCTGCAGGCTGGAAAATGCTTCTTTAATTTTCTGCCATTCCTGTGTCTACGAGAAGTTCGCAACCAAGCGTCTATCATCTCGCTGTTCATCCTCATGGTAACCGACACAGTGATCACAGGTGAGACTTTCACATGCAGTCTCTTTTTATTTTCAACTGAATATTCATATTTGAAGTTAAAGAAAACTAATCTCTTCACTTGAGCTAATAATGAGAAGATAAAGCTCTCATTTTTAGGCACAATAATACCTGTTCTAAACTTTTAAAGCGCTTATGGAACTTTCTACGTATTTTACAGTTTATGCTCAATGAGTGTGGAAAACTTGAGTCAGTTTGAAGTTAGGAAAAAATTGTTAGATACTTAAATGGATTAATGATGATAGCATTATAAACCAACAGCCAAGACATATGAAGTAGGCGAAAGATATTTATTTATTCCTCTTTAAATAGACAGGCAGATTAAATGATTAAAAATGCTAAACTAAATGTGGTTCTGTAATTTCCACATGAAATAAAATAAAATTGCAATAAAAAGGGCAAATTCTTACTGATAGACTGCTTCTCCTATGGATTTTGCAAGGATTGACGCAATGGGGGTTATTTACTAAAGATAGAGACTGCAAAATCAGGCTCACTTCTGCAAAGAAACCAATCAACTTCTAACATCAGCTTGTTCAGTTAAGCTTTGGCAATAAAACCTGGAAGGTGATTGTTTTCTATGTAGAAGTGAGCCTAAGTTTGCACTCTCCAGCTTTAGTAAATAAACTCCATAGTTTCTGCTACATTAGAAACCTGCCATATTGTGCACTTAACATGCCCAGCACTAAAAAGTATAGTTACCACTGGCTTACCTAAAATAAGTGTTAGGAAAATTTTCAGTCAATGGAAAAACTACTACGGATTTCGGTATTGATTTCTGATTTGTTAAAATACAAATGACAATCCGGAGTTAAATAAGATTAATTGAATAATGCCAAGGCAGCTAATTAAATAATTATTCTTTAGTTTACTTTTTTTATTTTTGTGATTATCCACTTCAATATACCCAGTCCCTTAGCAACACATCACCTTTGACTTTGACTCTATTTTTTTATTGACCAAATCTTGGCATTTCTGCTGACTTCCTCTAAAATATCAGCTGCTCTTTATACGAATGTAAGAAATCCCTAATTAAAAGGGGCACTATGATGACTGCTCACCGATCAGCCATAACTTTATGACCAATTTAATATTAAGTAGGACCCCCTTTTGCCGCCAAAACAGCCCCGGCACGTTGAGGCATAGATGCCACTAGACCTCTGAAGGTATGCTGTGGTATCTGGCACCAAACCATTTGTAACAGATCCTTTAAGTCTGGTAAGCTGCGAGATGGGGCCTCCATACTTCCCTCAGCACATCCCACAGATGCTCAATTGGATTAAGATCTGGAGAATTTGGAGGTCAAGTCATCATCTCAAATTCGCTGTTGTGTTCCTAAAACTATTTTTGAACCATTTTTTCAGTGTGACATTGTGCATAATCTAGCTTAAAGAGGCCACTGCCATCAGGGAATACCATTTCCACTTGACGATCAACAATGTTTATGTAGGTGGTACGTGTCAAAGAATATCCACATGAATTGGAGGATCTATGGTTTCTGAGCAGAACATTGCCCAAAGCATCACAATGTCACCACCAGCTTGCTTTCTTCTCATACTGCATCCTGGTGCCATTTTTTTCCCTCAAGTAAAGCACACGCACCCAGCCATCCACATGATGTAAAAAAAATGTGGTTTATCAGACCAGGCTACCTTCTTCTATTTCTTCATGGTCCAGTTATGATGATTATGTGCCCTTTTAGCTGTGGGCATGGTGCAGCATTGGCACTCTGACCGGTGTGCAGCTACGCAGCCCTATACACAATAAATTGTGATGCCCTTTTTTTATCTGCTTTCAACACATCAACTTAACAGACAACATGTTTACTTGCTATCTAATACACAACACCAAGCGTCAGATGCCACAGTAACTAGATAATCAATGTATTCACTTAACTTGTGATCAGTGGTCAAAGTTATAGCAGATCGATGCACATTTTTAAAACAATTTCAGAACAATGCTGCTGAAAACCTGACATTGTTTCATGCTTGTGAACTATGGCACACAAGTGACTTACACTTTTGTGGCACCTATCATGTGTGCAGAAATAAAAAAATATAATCAAGAAAATGTTTGTAATGAAGCCCTGAGACATCAGCCTTCTAGGTCACTTGTCATAAGGCCATAAAATGTAATTCTTTTAAAGTTGAATTTCAGGTTTGGTTTATATAGCATCGTTATATTGGTTTACCTTGGACCAATGTAAGTATGCATATGCCATAATTGTGGAAGCTGTAAAATCACTCTGGTAATCTCCGTTACTACAGTGATTACTGCTGTCTTTTCTGGGTCTTGTGCCAAGTGGCTGCCCTGCTGTTATTGAACACAGGGGGTCATTCACTCAACACAAGCATGATTTAAAGACCACCTTGTATTTTTCTCAATGAATGCAAGGCGTTCACCGATTGGACTAGGTGGATATTGCAATGCTATCACCTCAGAGAATGCCTAGACACTGGACCAGGAAGACAGCAGCAATCACTGTAGAAGCTAGGGCTACTACAGCGAGTCTCTGCTTCCCCAGTGGTCTCACAGGTATGACACATGCATACTTACACTGGCCCAAGCAGGATCAATGTAACAATACTATAAAATCCATATATAGAACTGTGATTTAAACAATATATATATATATATATATATATATATATATATATATATATATGCACATATCTTTAATGATGTTTCTTCGTAATGTCTCTAGAGTAATCCAATAATAGCTAAAAAAAAAAAAATAAAAATCACCATTTCCTTTTAAAATAGAAAACTCAAATTAATTCACAAAGTTTAAACGAGAAATATGGCCAAAGCTTTTTGGGCCATACTTCTGTTGGTCACAGGAGTGCACTTAATGTTTCTCTCCTGTGACCCAGAGTCGGGTATATAAAGGGTTATTGCCCACTGTCAGCTGATGAGGCAGTGCTGCTCCAGGCTCTCGTAGGATCCTGAGAATATTGTTAGGATCCACCAAGCTGGCTGATTGACAGCCAACCCCAGCTCTCATCTAAAGGTCAAAGCCCGCTGTGCCCACTGCTCCAATGAGCACTGGAGGAGCAGAGCAGAGAGTGGTGACTTACAGTTGCTACACAATGCTCTAAAGGCTGAGAACGGAGCAATCGCAATTATGCGATCGC